TGGAATCCCTGCTGTCTGTTTCCTCCACCTATACCCTAGCTTTTCTCTTCCTTACATTCTAGCCAGTGCTTTAAACATGTCTTCCCATTGTTGGTCTATCCTTCAAAAGCAGTACCATTTGGGCAACCCTGTGATATGGAGCTGGATCTCACATGGTTGGACACAATTCTCATCCCTGTCCTAGCAGCTTGAAAAACACCAGGTATGTGTACTCCAATCCTTGACAAGATAAAGAAATGAAGAAGGGATGGACTGTAGCGTAAACACATTCCACTGTGGGGTACTTCCTTCCTCTCCCTCTGTATCTCTCAAGTAACTGAATAAACCCTTTGGCAAAAGAAAAACCACCATCAAGAAACAAAAACTGGAAACCAGCAGTTAGCGTAATGGCTATGTCGCTGGACTCCCACGCAGTGGACCGAGGTTCGCGTCCCGGACCCGGTGGCTTAGAACTCACGCCGGGCGCGTGTGCGTGCGTGCCCAAGATCCCGAGAGGAAAATGGAGGAGAAGGGATTGCGGCGTGACCATCCCCCCTGGGGGGTGATTTCTCGCTTTCTGTCTCTCTGTCTGTCTGGCGAGCGCACGGGCCCTGTAGCGAAAACCTCTCCCCCCAACCCCTCAAAAGACATCGTTTAAAGATACACTTCCAAATATTTCTTTAAAAATTTTTAAAATCAGGGCCAGCAGATGGTGTAGTGGTTTAGGCTCGGACTCCCACATGGCTGACTGTGGTTCGATTTCCAGACCTCACAGCTTGCTCTCTAGTTTCATTGTCTCCCCTATCACCTGGTCTCTCTCTGATGAGTGTGTATGTCCTATAGCAAATTAAAAATATATAATAATAATGGGGCTGACAAGTGGCATGGTGGTTAAAGGTGCTGGACTCCCACATGGCTGACCGTGGTTTAAGTCCTGGACCTGGTGGCTTGTTTTCTCACTTTCCCTCTCTCTCTTGCCCTGTCTCTCTCTGATCAAACTGGGAAATAAGAATAAATAAAGTTAAATAATTCTTAAAAAAAAAAATAATCAAACTTTAAAATCTGAGGCAATACTTCTAAAAAACAGAATCAATCAAGTTCTTGCATATAAACTTCCAATGATTCTACAGAATAAAGCCAGAAACTGACTCTAGTAAGTCTTTTTCCAGTCATTCTACTCAACTCACAAAATTGTACTGTCTACTCAGTTACTAATGGATCAATTTATTTATTTTTTTTCCCCCAGCGGTTTTATTTTTGCTATAGTGCATGTGCGCTTGCCAGAAAGACACAGAGAGACAGAGAGAGATATAAAGTTAGAAATCACCCCCCGGGGGGATGGCCATACCGCAATCCCTTCTCCTCCATTCTCCTCTTGAGATCTTGGGCACGCGCACATATGTGCCAGGTGTGAGTTTAAGCCACTGGGTTTGGGACTTGAACCACGGTTGACTACATGGGAATCCCACGACACAGACATTACGCTAACTGCTGGTCCCCAATGGATCACTTTATATACCATGTACTTTCAAATCTCCCTGAGTCTGTTAATACTGTCCTCAGAAGGCTCATCTCCTTAAGAAAGTACTACTACCTTCAAATGTCTTTTCTCTGTAGGCTTTCTTTACCCTCCTCTTTTCCTTCCAGGGAACTGCTCCTTTAGTTAAATTCTTAGCATTTATGAATACTTCTCTTTTAGCTAAATTAAACTCTCAAATTTTATAATAAACTGTTTGAAATACCAAGTTCATTTATATCTTAATCACTTATTACTGAATGAATGCCTAACTTTAATGACTAACAACATAGTAAACCTGTCTTCCAAGCAAACACGCAGAGTACCAGCTAGTGGGAAGTACACTGGCAATGCATATAAAGCAAGGCTCTTCCTTCAAGAAGGTAACCTTTTTTTTTTTGAGAGGTTTTTGCTATAGGGCGCGTGTGCTTGCCAGAAAGACAGAGAGAGACAGAGAGACAGAAAGTGAGAAATCATCCCCCAGGGGGGATGGCCACACCACAATCCCTTCTCCTTCCTTCTCCTCTTAGGATCCTGGACATGCAAGCACATGCACCTGGCTTGAGTTTTTAGGCCACTGGTTCCTGGACTCAAACTGCGGTCGACTACATGGGAGTCCAGCGACACAGCCATTATGCTAACTGCTGGTCCCAAGAAGGTAACTATTTGAAGAGGGGATGAAAACAGGGATCTCAGTATCAAATATCAGCTAGGTTTCAAAAACCCCTGTACAAAGACTACAACTGGCATCACACCTGATACTTTAAAACTGCAATGGGCATCCATATCGGAAATGCTGAAATTCCCTTATAGTACAGATAGAGCTTCTCTAATAGATCAATAAATCGAAAGAGATCAGCATGTATTAATATAATCTTGTGCAAAAAAACTCAAGTTTTGGTCATAAATACTGTCCTCACCAATTAAGAGACAATAAATTAATCTATTAATATGTTTTTACCAGTTAAAAATATAAAATGTAGGGACCAACACATGGCATAATGGTTACACTGCTAGACTCCCATGTAGTTGACTGCAGTTTCAGTCCTGGATCTAGCAGCTTAAAACTCATGCCAGGCACATACGTGTGCACACCCAAGACCCCAAGAGGAGAAGGGATAGCAACGTGGCCATCCCCTCAGGGAGAAATTTTTCACTTTCTATCTCTTAGGCGAGCACATGCACCCTATAGCAAAAATCTCTCACAAACAAACAAACCAAAAGGGTAAAATTTGAAATTGTTTTTTGGGACCAGCCTGTGGGATGATGGTTAAGGTGGAGATCCCACATGGCTGATTGTGTGGTTCCAATATAAAACCTGGTGGCTTGATAAACATATTAGGTCTGTGGGCATGCATGTGCACCCAAAATCCCGAAGGGAAGAAAATATGAAGAAGGGTCTATAACATGACCACTTCCCATGGTGGGGGGGAGGCTGTTCGTTCTCTCTCTCTCTCATGGGTGCATGAGCCCTTGGGCAAATATTGGCCGGGGGGTGGTGGTGGGGGGCTTTCTAAATAACTTGTGAAGAGAATAGATTAAGATTTTATATCTGACCAAATAATAAGAGTTGAGAAATGACAGAAATGATTCTTAATGATAATAGCCAACTACAAACCTACCTCGCAGTGATAATCAAAATATTGCACTTTCAGTAGTATTTGCTGATTCTTCTCTTTCAGCACACGTTTCAAAGGATGAAAGTTGCTAGTATTAAAAAAAAAAAAAAAAAAAAAAGAGCGAAAAAAAATAAAAAAAAAAAAAAAAAAGAGCGAGAGAAAATGATCTACCAAGCTAATAAAGAATACAACTGCTGCTGCACCGGGGAATCTCACAGTACAGCACTGAAGAAAACAAAGACTACTAGCAGCGTTGGGAAGTGCTCTTTCAAAGCTGTTGAGTAGGCACAAACTTCTTGTTTCAGATCAAGTGTTGTGTCTTCAACTTAAGTGTACTCTTCTTTGGTCTTGTTGGTTGTTACGAGGTTTGTTCCTTGCCTGATCTGAACTTGAAGCAGCAGTTTCAGGTGGTAAAGTCTGTTCTGTTACACTTCATACTAGAGATAAAGAATGAAAACATTGTTACATAAAAGAACCAGAGATAGTAGTGAGAAAGGGGACAAACTCTTTTCTTAGAGTTGTTGTTCAAGCAAGCTAACCCAAGAAATATAAAAGCACACTCAGGCAATCTCTCAAGTACTAATAACTACCTCCTTTGGTATCACGTACCTTAGACCTCAAATTTTCCAGTCCTTATTGACTTCACACCCTTAAATAAGTTCAAAGATACAAAGCATAACATTTTAAGTGGTATAAGCAAGGAAATGTGTTAGGTTTGCAGGGAGTGTGGGGGAGGAAGAAGCTCCCGTCATCAGAGTTTACGATCTTACTAAGACAAAAGTTACAGATAAAGTAAACCAAAATATAGAACAAAAATCCAAACATTAATTTGCTCAACTAATATCCTGGTACCTACTATGTCACATACTATTGGGTTGTCAGAAAAGTCACAATTTTTGTGTAGAAAAACATGTCATGACTTTTCCAAGGACCCAATATAATAGTAATACTCCTTATTGTTAACTACTACATGTGCATCAAAATATGGTGAACAGAGAAAATGTATTTTAAAGTAAGGTAGAAATTGAACTGAACCAGAAAAATTGGCATTTTAGGATAAACAGCTGAGTATTTTAGGCATGAGGTATCACATAAGCCAAGTCAGAATATGCCACAAAATTTTACGTGCCCTGAGAACAGGGACCACATATCATATGACTTTCTAAGCCTGGCATCAAATGAACTTTTCTGCATGAATGACTGTGGCAACAAGTGTGGCTTATTAGTCTAGAGAAAATTAATAGGCTAGACAGGCTAGAACAGAAGGCTGGTTAAAGTGAAATGGAATATGTGAGGTGACAGGTGTATAGGAGCCAGATTATGAATCATTTCAACTTGATATAATAGGAAAGAAAGCCTTAGTTTTTTATTAAAGTGGCATAGTCTTGAAATCCTTTGGGAAATTACTTAAGTGAAGGAAACAAATCTCATTTGAGCTGTTGCAGTAAGTAGATGAGAAATGTGTAGAGGAGAGAAATGAAACATATATACACATGTGTACAGGAGAAACATATGCATATTAGTCTATTTATTGTAATATTATTTTAAATTTGCTAAAGAGTACATGTGCTCACCCGAAAGAGAGGGAAAATAAGAAAGCTGCCAGGTCTGGGACTTTAATAGCGGTCAGTGGGAGTCCAGCACCTTAACCACCATGCTACCTGCTGGCCCTATTAAACATATTTCTAAATAAAAACTGCAGCGTTCCACCTGGTATTAGCTCTAAAATAAGATGAACACACCAAGATGGATATTTGACAAACATCAAAATGAAGAATCCTCCCCCATGGCATAGTGGTTAATGGAGTCAGATCCCACATGCTGACCACATGGAGGCTTTAAAAACAACCCAACAGGTGGGCTGCAACATGGAGGCTACTAGTGGAACTGATGAGCAGGTTTCCGGGGAGCTGGTGTCACATGTTCTTTCGCTGCCAACAGAATCATATGGCAACGATATGAGTGGGTCAGACCATAAGATCCAAAGAATTTAGACAAAGGAGAGACCTCTAAGGACTGAGGCTGTAGAAGACTTCTGAGGAAGTGAAGCTTGAACTGGATTCCCAAAGTGTAGGTGGACAAAGGACATGGATTGGAAGCCCGGCATTGAGATGGCTTGGGCCATGAGAGCAATGCAGCATGGTGAATCAAGCTGATTTCATCAGTTGACCCACAGTTCCTGAAACTCATCGAAGTGGATGAGTTTTGGGAAATTTCTGAGAAACGCAGGATAGATGTACTGGACCCAGAAGAACTCAAATAGGCATCAGCTAAAGAGAAGTGAAAGCTATTCTGCATGAAGTTTGATGGGATTGTAGAAGACTTCAACTATGGTACTTTGTTACGACTAGATTGTTCTCAGGCTTACACTGAGGAAAACACCATCTTTGCCCCCCAGGATTCAGTTTTTGCCACTGAAATTGCTCAAAATCGGGAAGGCTATAATAAAGCAGTTTATAACAGTGTTCAGGATAGAGAGAGAGAGAGAGAGAGAAAGAAGCCAACAATGGCGGAGAGAAAGGAGCTGACAGTAGAGAAGAAAAAGCCAAGAATGGAGAAGAGAAAGAAGTTGACAGTAGAGAAGAAGAAAACTGACAAAGGAGGAGAAAAAGAGAAAGGAGCCAATAAACAAATAAATAAAAATGGTGAAACAGCTATGTAAGGCAGATCGGGAAAAGCGCTCTAGAGCTGTGACTAAACTGAGTCTGAAGATAGCATGATACCACTTGCACAAATCCCTTTGGTTACATGTATGTCCGTGTGCAATTGAAGGACACTTGGAAGGACATCTTTACAGCCCAATAATGAGAGTTATCTGATCATTCCCATGTATGAACTCAATGGAGTGGAGGTGCTTTTTCTTTCCCTTTCTCTCTGTCAAATGAACAAATTAAAAAAAAAATTAATCTGAGAAATCTAAAAAATGAAGAGAGAACAAGAATCAAACATATTTTATAATAACCCTATTTTCTGCTCCTGGCACTGATTTCAGGTATTCCGCCAGTATTCCTCATCACCAGCTGATCAGAGCAAAGTTATAAAAAATAACCTAACGACCAACATAAATATAGGCAGGTATATAAATAATATATCTAGATGTGCAGATATACTGACATTAGTGTAAGATACAGATTGAAACAAGTATGAGAAACTGAAGCAATGTTTATACTGTTGATTAAATGATTAAAAACAAAATACTAAAAAAACAAACAAACAAAAAAAAACCAGTAGGGGCCAGCAGGCAGCATGATAATTAAAGCACTCACCCAGATCTGGTGGCCTGAAAATCATGCAAGACATGTGTACATGCATGTCCAAAATCCCAGGAGGAGAATGGAAAAGGGACTGTGATGTGGCTGTCCTCATCGAGAGATTTCTCATTTTCTCTCTCTGTCTCTCCAGGGAGTGCATGTGCCCTACAGCAAAAACCTAAAAATAATAAAATGGCTAAAAGCTGAGAGGTCAGAGGGGGGAAATAGCTAAGACTAGGAGAGTTCAATCTCGATTACTGATATTTACTAGTAAATACCACAGGGAAGTTGCTTAATCATTTTAGGTGTGCTTCCTTGTAGGCAAAATGAAAACTCAGTAATAATAATGGCCGATCTATAGCTACTTTCACATGACTTTGTTCCTTAAAGTGTCAAATGTTTACACATCTGATCTTTTAACTTTATTTAAATCATTCACCTATTATCGGGTCGTCTGAAAAGTCATGATGCATTTTTGCATAGAAAAACATGTCATATTTCCAATGACCCAATATCACCCTGACTAGATGAAAAGGTCCTCAAAGTACTCGGAACACTTTAAAAACGTCCTATGATCGGTAAGTAATGTAATCAGCTTGAGGTAGGAGCCACTTTATTTTGATTTGTCCCTCATCACCTCTATACTCAATGTTGCAAGTCTTACTACTTTTCCCTTCACCATCTTTTGTATTAATTTCTTGTCCTAAGACATATTTTAGTCCAGAAGTCTAATACATCCATCAACTTCCAGTGACTACTCTTGCCATTTTCTGTCACAAAATACTAGCAAACAGAAAAAAAAATCCCATTTTCATCTCATCTAAAATCTTCAGTGATTTTCCAGCACTCTAGATCTAGGTTCTTAATCCTGACTATTCATCCAACACAACCATCTAAGCATCTTTAAATAAATAAGTAAAGCAAGCAAGCATGTAAGCAAGCAAACCTGGTTCTTACATAGACTCTATAATTAACTAGATTAGGTTAGATCCTAGGCATTGGCTTATTTTCTACACCCCTCCCCTTGGTTTCTGACTTTCAGCCAGGGATACAGACCACTATTCAAAGTACCTCTATTTACCCTTCAATCTTTACTTCCTTTTTCTTCTCTTTCTTTCTTTCTTTTTTTTTTTTTTTAAAAGTTTGTTTTTGCCATAGGACAAGAGCACTCAATGGAGAGACAGAAACAGACAGAAAGTAAGAAGGGGGGGGGTGTTTGGGAGGGCGATGGTAATGCTGCAATCCCTTCTCTTCCATTCCCTTCTTGAGATTTTGAGCAGGTAGGCACGTGCCCAGCGTGATTTTCAAGCTGCTAGGTCTGGGAATTGAACCGTGGTTGGCCATGTGGGAGTCCAGTACTTTAACCCCCACTCCACTTGTTTGGCCCCCATCTTTACTTTCTATTGCATGCTACACATGTGTACAGGAGAAACATATGCATATTAGTCTATTTATTGTAATATTATTTTAAATTTGCTAAAGAGTACATGTGCTCACCCGAAAGAGAGGGAAAATAAGAAAGCTGCCAGGTCTGGGACTTTAATAGCGGTCAGTGGGAGTCCAGCACCTTAACCACCATGCTACCTGCTGGCCCTATTAAACATATTTCTAAATAAAAACTGCAGCGTTCCACCTGGTATTAGCTCTAAAATAAGATGAACACACCAAGATGGATATTTGACAAACATCAAAATGAAGAATCCTCCCCCATGGCATAGTGGTTAATGGAGTCAGATCCCACATGCTGACCACATGGAGGCTTTAAAAACAACCCAACAGGTGGGCTGCAACATGGAGGCTACTAGTGGAACTGATGAGCAGGTTTCCGGGGAGCTGGTGTCACATGTTCTTTCGCTGCCAACAGAATCATATGGCAACGATATGAGTGGGTCAGACCATAAGATCCAAAGAATTTAGACAAAGGAGAGACCTCTAAGGACTGAGGCTGTAGAAGACTTCTGAGGAAGTGAAGCTTGAACTGGATTCCCAAAGTGTAGGTGGACAAAGGACATGGATTGGAAGCCCGGCATTGAGATGGCTTGGGCCATGAGAGCAATGCAGCATGGTGAATCAAGCTGATTTCATCAGTTGACCCACAGTTCCTGAAACTCATCGAAGTGGATGAGTTTTGGGAAATTTCTGAGAAACGCAGGATAGATGTACTGGACCCAGAAGAACTCAAATAGGCATCAGCTAAAGAGAAGTGAAA